TGAGCAAACACAGGTGAAGTGCTCGGAATGAGGCCTGGCACACAGTAAATGCTCAGTAAGTTACTGTTACTACTGTTGACTTTGCCAGTGTCTCCTAGACATCTGATGGCTACTCCTGGAGCTGACCCTGGTTTAACACTCGTTCCAGCCTTGCCATATACACTCAAGAACTTGGGAGAGGACCACCCCTTCAGAAGACCCTCTAGTGGATGTGGGAGAGGGCACTGTGTGTGCAGACAGAAAATCTGATCTTGTACCCGGCTCCACCACAGAACGGCTGTGTGTTTCTGGGTAAATCTCCCAGCCCATCTGGGCCTCTGTTTCTATAGGGTAAACTCAGGTCTCCTTCTACCTCTAACTTCCAAACATTCTGTGACAATAAGGAGGCTATCTCCTGGCCCGGGGAGAAGGTGCGTGGGGCAGCAAGGCAGGGCAGGAGGTCAGAGTGTCTAGGGTGGGTGTTGCGCTTCCAGCTCCTCCTCTGAGGTGGGGCCAATGCACCACACTCAGACTCCTCTCCACCTACACAACAATCCCAGCGCTGCTGCCAATGAAAGGGAGCCTGGGTGGGAAGAGCCTCACTTGAATTTGGGCAGGAGACAATGTGGTCAGACACAAAGAGGAGTTAATTGACCATCATGAGAGCAAGGAGAGAGGAGTTGGTTCTGCAGGAGAGTGGATTTACTGTTTCTGGTCAACGGGCCCTTGCCAGCCTGGGGCCTTGAGCCCCAGCATCCCAGATGGGTGGCAGCATCGGTGCCCCTCCTCTGCCCTCCCTGGTGCACTTTTGGCAAGGAAGGTGGGTGAGGGTGGAGTAGGCTGCAGGAGGTGCTGCTTGATACTGAGGACAGCAGCTCAGTGGGGAGCTGGGACCAGGCTCTTGGAAGCCAATCTGAACATCTTAGCATGGAGGGAGGCAAGGGCATCCAATCAGCAGCAATGAGCCTGCGCTGGGCTTATTTATGCCGTTTCGCTTTGATCGGGAGCCCTGCTTAGAGACGGGCTCATGCGTAATGCATGAGAGATACTCTGGCATAGTCAAAGGGCTAGGCCGCAGCCTGGGGATAGGCACGAGCAGGCATGCATGCACGTCCACACATACACATGCACACATGGGCCATTACACACACATACACATACAGAGGCTATTATACACACACACACAGACACACATGAATGCATGGGCCATCCCCCCACCTCACGCTTATCTAGGCACACCCATGGTGACAAGCAGGCAGACATGCATATGCTCTCTGCACACATATTTGTGTAGACACTCTGGCACACATTTGCATACACTCATAGGCACATGTCCACATGCCCAGATCACAGAGATGCATCACACATATGCTCACATACACACAAATGCAAACACTCATGTCTAAGCACAAAGACACATACACCCACACAGGTACCCTCTTGTGCATGGGCATATGTGTGCACAGATGGGTACACAAGTGCATACTCCCATGTATGATATACTGCCACATGTGCACTGTGCACATGTACATATATTCACATACTTGCTCACACTCATGAACATATACAGAGTTCCTAACATGCCTTTGACAATGCTTTTTTCTTCTCTTCACTCTGAATACATGGCAAGACCTCTTGGACAGGTCAAATTTGCAGCTTCCTGGTGGTAGCAGCAATGTCCAAGAGGGAAACCCCTTTCCTTTCTCCTTTCTCTTTATTAAGTAGCTGCTTCCAACCTCAAGGAGGGATGCAGGGGAGGTTGGGGTGGGGAAGACTGCTGGGGGCTCCAGTGCCCAGGAAGAAGAAGGCTTTTCCATTCAACCTCCTCCCTCTCTCTTTACTCAGTCCCCACTGGAGCTGAATCCATCACTCACAGCTTAGCCTAGAAGGAGGCAAGGGCTGGGGGATGGGGAAACAGAGCCCAGACTGATTGAGAGCAGCTGATTAATAAACAAACAAATTAATGAATGAACCTGCAGCCACAGATTTCCCAAATCCTGATCATTTCTGAGAAATAATTAAAGCAATGGTTCTCAAAGTGTGGTCCCAGTAGCATCGGCATCACCTACAAACATTTTAGAAATGCACATTTTTGGCCCCATCCCAGACCTACTGAATCGGGAACTCTGAGGGTGGGGCCCACAACCTGGGTTTTAACAAGTCTTCCTGGAGATTTGAATGCACTCGCAAGTCTGAGACCACTGGCCTAGAATGTGGGCTTTGGAGGAAGTCAGACCTGGGTCAGCATCTGGCTCCTCCAGCTGTGAGTACTTGGACAAACCACTTAACTGCTCTGAGCCTCAGTTTCCACATGTGCAAAATGGAAATAATTATAGCACCAACCTCACAGGATTTGTCATGAAGGTTAAATGAGGCCAGGCATTTAGCACAGTGCCTGGCCCACTGTGAGCTCTCTGTGGTGGCAGCTGTTGTTACTATTACTTTAATTTCTGCAAGAACATTCACAGCTACTGGTTCTCAGGGCCAGCCAGAATCTCCTGAAACCTAAGTTACTCTGATAGAGGGTGAAAAAACATTGGGGAACTGAGCCAAGACTACAAAGCAACAAAGTCATGGCCGGATATCCAGTAGAGTGTAAATGAGCAGGTGACAGGGACTTTATCTGAAGACACCAGCATTCCAGGAGCGTTACATGAGAAGTAATGTTTGTGAACACTTTTTCAGGTTGTAAGCCTCCTCTCCTCTTTGAGGATTTGCCCCTGCTGCCCTCCCAGTGGTGGAGTGCTCACCCCCAACCCGAGGCCAGCCTCTTGGAGATGGATGACACTAAGACCCACAGCCAAGGGCAGGGAGCCCCCTGGCCCCAGCGCCTGTCTGTGTGTCTGGGATGCTCTTCTGCTTCTCCAGCCCCTTCTTTTCACCTGTCCTCTGATGATTTAAGGAATTGTAACACATTCTCACTGCTTGCCCCAGGTACAGAAACCTCAAGGATTTGTGTTAAGACCAACCTACATGGCCCACATCACCACAGGTCCCCAATGTCAACTGGTCGAAAGGGGCAGAGGCTGAGCCCGTTGGCTCTGTGCGGTTAGGGAAGGACAGGGACTCATGTCCTTTCCTCTCCTGCTCCGGAAAGGGTCGGGGATGGTCAGCTCATGGTGCTGCAGTGGGAGGGGGACCGCCTCACCTTGAAGAAGGTCATGGTGGCCCCGTCTTTGACAGCTCCATACTCAATTTTGGTTTGCTTGGCCAGGTCGTCGGCAGAGTCGATGGGGGACTCCATGCGCTCCACGGTCAGAAAGGCGGCCAGGTTGGCCGTGTAGGAGGAGATGATGATGAGCGTGAAGAACCACCAGATGCCGCCAATGATGCGCGTGGACAGAGCCTTGGGCATCAGTTCAGACCCTGGGAGAAGGGAGGAGGCAGGCGGTGCCTTACAATGTCCAGACCAGGGCTGCTTGAGTCCTCTGAGTCATGGACTCACACTCTAATAAAAGCAGAAACCCTTTCCCTAGACCAGCAGTTCTCAAGTGTGGTCCCTGGGCCAACAGCATCAGCATCACCTGGAAACTTGTTAGAAATACAAATTCTTGGGCCCCACCGCAGGATCTACTGAATCAGTAACTTCCGGGGGCAGGACCCAGCAATCTGTGTTTGGATGAGCCCTCCGAGTGACTGTGATGCAGGCAGTAATTTAAGAACCACTGATCTAGAACAACACACACATGCACAGCACTTCATAGCCTTGTCAGACCCTCGGATGCCTATCTGTGGACCACTTGTGTGGTCCCAGGTGAAGAACCCCTGGGAGTTGGAAGCTCTGGATTCCTGAGTGAATTCTGCTCCCAACTCTCGGTGTGATCTTATGCCAGAAACTTCCCCTCTCTGGGACTCTGCAAAGTGTTGGAGAATCGTCCTTCCTCTGCCCCAGTCTCACATAAATACTGTGCTGCCGCAATGATATAATTTGAAGAGAAATTGCATTGGAAATACAAGTGCTATACAAATACAAGATTGCTATGCGGTGCTTTGCAGAAAGAAATATCAATATTTTTTGAAGCTCTTTGCTGAAATATATCACTCCTCCTCCCCGACCTTGGGTGTGGAGCACAATTGAGATGAAACCTTCTAACTGAAGTAATTAACCAGGTGGCTTTCAAGACATTTAAATAGCAAGTGGCTCCTGAACTTTCCAGAATATTTGGACCCTCAATCTGAAAAGCATCTGCTTTGATATGGATTTTTTTTTCCCTCAAAGAAATCACTCAAGGGTGAGTTTTTCAAATACATAACTATTTTTCTCCCTCCTAATCAAAATCACGCAGAGAATACATCAGGGGCCAGTGCTTTGAATAGCAGCAGGAGGTGGAAGAGGAGACGCGATTACTTCATTCAGGGGCTTCTGGGTGTATCCCAACTGTCACTGAACAAAGATGATAGACCAAGAAGCAAGGTGAGGCTTCGGGACACTGATTAATAGCAGGCACAGATTGAGCCGCTTCCCCTGAAAGTGGCCTGTCACTTCCCAGCTGCTGGAGACCACCGAGCCTGCTCACTCCCCTCACCAAACAGCCACTGCCAGCCTCCCCCAGATTGCTCCAAGCTAGGGCTCCAGCTGCCCTCCAAAGGGAGAGTGCCTTATTTGTCGTTTGCTTGGTTGTGAGCTCTGCCAGGCTTGCTGGAATCCCACCCAAGCTTCAGCCCCTGCCCTTGCCTCTGCCATGGCTGAGGGGTCTCTCAGGTGTGGGCACATTTACTTTTTCCTTTCCTTCATCCAAGGGCCCCACACAGGCTTTGGCATGTAGTGGGCACTCAAGACACATTGGGATAATACTGTTCATTCATTCACTCATTCATTCATTTGGCATTTGCTGATGGATGTCTAGTGAAGACCAGGGTTTGCACTGGGCCTTGAGATTATAGTCAGATTCATAAGAGACAAGGAAATTTCCTTTGCCCCTTGAAGCCCTTCTGTCCCGTGCTTCCTAGTTAGGTCTCTCAGCGGGACTCTAACCCAGGTAGAGACTCTGGTCATCCCATTCCCTGAAATGAGAAGCTCTGGACACAGAACTCCAAACGCAGAGGCTATGAGCACATGGCTCCTGCAGCAGGGCTGAGGAGGTGTTCTCCTTGCGGGGTCTCTCCTGGCTGGGGCCCCTCTCACTGTGCCCTCTAGCCCCTTGGTGTCTTTGCATCTCACTTCTTGTAGTTAGAACGGGTGCTCTGCTTTCTGAGGTATATGAGCAGCTGCCAATACGAGTTATTTCCCAAGACTGGGACACCAGCGCAAGGTCAGGTGCAGAGCACTGGCCCTCCTTCTAGAGATGGAAGAGAAATGTGTCCTTCTGTGCACCCCATCTCTGGTGCACTCAGGCTGAAGTTCCTGCCTCAGCCATGACCCCTACCCCTCCCAGGTGCCCCACAGCCAAGTGGTCACCAAGTCCTGTCCATGCTACGTCCCAAAGTTCTCTTGATTTTTCTCTGCCCTCCACCCCCGTGGCTGCTACCTTGATTCAGGTCTCGTCACCTCATTCCTGCAATGGCCTCCCATCCGGCCTCCCACCCAGCCTCCCTTTGTCCACTGCCCACCATTGCTCATTATGATGGTGAGGCCATTGGAGGGGCTGGCCCCAGCAAGCAGGATACTCTATGTCCACCTCATCTGGAGCAGGAGGTGCTGCGGATGAGTGCTGCATGCCACAGTTCAGGTCGGGGGGGGCTTATCTGCATTAACCTCAGACCTTGAGCCGGCTCTAGCCAGCGCAGTGGTGGAGGGTGGGGGTTTGGGGCAAGGGCACACATCTGGATATCCCAGGTGTCTCCAACCTCCTGACGGCTCTGCAGGGTCTCAGCCTGCCCCTGGAGGGTGAGCTGGCTCTGCTAATTCCATAAGGGCTGACAGACCCCTTAGGGAGAGAAGACCCACTGGGAGAGGAGGCCCCAGGAGAGGGCACATACCTTGCTGCATCAGGGACCCCATGCCGAACCAGAAACTATTAAGCAGAGTGAAGTTATTTTCCACCACCTCGGAGCCAGGGTTGCAGGGGTGAGCGTCGTACCACTCATAAGGGCTGAACCTGCCGCAGGAAGAGAGGAGCAGTGAGGCTGAGCTGCGAGGAGACGGGAGGGAAGGGGCGTCCACGCCACGGGAGGTGGCAGTTTAGCAAACGTGGATATGCCAAGCACTCTGGCACCAATTTCCTCCTTGTTCTGCTGGGGAGGCAGGGAATGGGAAATCAGGGCCATTTTTCTTATTGTTCTTTATTGTTAGTGCCCTTTTCTGGTTATAAAAGTAATTCAGCAGCATCTTTTAAAATTAAAAGTGCAAATGCCCTTCAACCTAGCAATTCTGAGACTCATTATCTATCCTAGAAAAAACACTTGTACATGAGCATAAAGAGAAACACACAGGGTGTTTATCAAAGCATTGTTTGTAATGGTGAAAACTGGAAACAACCTAAATGTCCTTCAATAGAAGAATGATTAAACAAACTATGCCACAAGCGTATGTCACGCGGCTGTTAAAAGAGGATGAGATACCTGAAGATACACCTGCAGGGAAAGATCTTCAATACATATTGTTTGGTTAAAAAAAGTGATTAAAAAATAAGAACAATATGATCACATTTATATAAATGGATTCCTGAAGACATAACTATACAGCTCTTTATGTATATTTGTATGCAAAGGCATACTTAACAGTCTAGAAGGATCCATATATAAAAAATATCAGTGTTTACCTCTGGGGAGGGGAGTCAGAGTGGCAGAAAAAACTTCAGGGAGGCCCGTTGCTTTATAGTATTGTGTGAATTTTTAAAAATGAGAGCATGCTTTTGAATTTCTTGTGTAATTTAAATAAACCTTAAAATGGAACAAAAGTAAAAGACACTTTTTATAAAATATTCAAACAGATAGAAGAACACAATGAGAAAGGGAAACTACTCCAGCATCCTACCCCCTACAGAGAACAATGAAGTTTATAATTTTTCAGATTTTTGTCTTTAAATATACAAATATTACGTGGCAGGAAAGATATTGTTTTTTTTTTTTTTCCTTTTTGTCTTTTTTCGTGACCGGCAACGGATCGCAACCCT